GTTCCCTGTGATGAAAGGATGGGAACGTTTCTGGGCTCTTCTGTGGTGGTCGTGGATACCGATATCTTAATTTTTTTTACGGTAGACTTTTCTTTGAGGATTCATTCTGTACCTTGATCTCAGAAACCTTCTGGCAGACTTCCTCCTGATGTTTGAAAACATATTTGTTGTCCCTTAGGTCACCTGCTTATTTGGATGCAAGTTCAGTTTATCCAAGGCTTTTTTTCTACATCTAATGGCTGCCTTAGCCTAGTTCAGCCGTGCTGGCTGTCCCCCTCCCTCCCCAAGTCTTTTTGGGCTAGGTGGCATGCATTTGCTCTCTAAATGGTCTCCAGTGACTTGCATACATTTTGGCCTTTGGGCTAACCATTTTAATTTTTTTTTTTGATTGATGATGGCCTCACTTGCTAATAATTTTTCCTTAAGTAATAATAATTAAAAAAACCAAAACCCTAAACCCAAGCCATAAAGACCTCATTTCAATGCATAAAGGATGAATCAGCTGAGACGGTTTCCTTCTGTAATACTCCAAGCCCCTAACTAGCTCCTACCCTGTCTTCTCATGCTTCTCTGAAGATAACGCTCAGTACTCGCCATGTTCTGTGTTGGCTTTTTTCTTTGCATCTTTACCACATCTTTCTTCCACATTCTTCTCTCTCACCAAAGCTGCCCTCTCCAAGTCAGCAGTCTCCCATTTGGCTTTGGTGGGAAATACATGATATTTCTGTACTTCACCTCTCACACCTGCCAAGTGGTGTTTAAGCTTAACGCAACCTGACAAAGCTGTGCTGTCCCGCTGGTAGGGTGAGGAGTCACCGAGAATTTGAGTGGCTGCTGGATGTTGCCATTCTAACAGGCTTTTCTCCATTTTTTAATAGATGTTTTATGTTAGCATTCCTGTCAGCCTTAGCAAGAGGGCTGTGACTCCTTGGCATGCTCCTGACAGGTGCCTCCATCCTTGCTGTGGGGCGTGGGGCTCATTGCAGGAGTAACCCTTGGAGCCACCTTGCACATGAGAAAGTCAGCCCTGTTTTCAGTTATGGTCTGACAAGAAGACACTGATGTCATCTAAGTGGCAATTTCTCCAGCCCAACCCTGTAAGTTTACTGCAGTCAACCAGGAGCAGAGGAAGAACAAGTTCACAGGAGCTGGCAAGGACAAGAAGTATGAAAGCAGCCACTCCTTAACGAGGAAATGCTGATGAACTCAAGGGGAGTTGACTGGAACATCTCACCTTATCAGGGAGCAGCAGGATTGGGGCTACCCGCCAAGGAAGGGTGAGCTGGGGGTCAGCTGGGCATGGGCAGTGCCCTCACCAACCAGGGAGCTGGGCCAGGGCGGCAGAGGAAGTTGGTGATAACAGAGTCCATGGACAGCCCCAGGCAAGGTGACGTCATGAATGCGGTTCTGGGTCCGTCCGAGATGTTCAGTCAGGAGCAGCAGGAGATGGGACTGGAGACAGGACTGACTGCACATTTGAGGTCCGTGGAGGAAATGAGGTTGGAGGAAAGTTACTTACACTCTAGGTCTGGGGGTCTGTCCACAAAATAGAGCCAGGAGCAGAATCAAAGAATCACAGAATGGTTTGGTTGGAAGGGACCTTAAAGATCACTCAGTTCTAAGCCCCCTGCCACGGGCAGGGACACCTCCCACCAGACCAGCCCCATCCAACCTGTCGTTAACCACTGCCGGGGATGGCGCAGCCACAGCTTCTCTGGGCAACCTCTGCCACTGCCTCTCCACCCTCACCGGGAAGAATTTCTTCCTGGTATCTCGTCTAACTGAGCTGAAGAACTGAAGGCATGTCTACCTACAGCATAGCTCAGGCCAGGACTGGGTGCTGAAACCTGGGCTCACATGGAGCTTCTGGGCCATGGGCAAAGATTGTGCGAGGAGGTCCCAGGTCAGGCTGGTCAGGGCAATTGTCCTGGCTTGGCTAGAACAGGACTATTTCTCCTTTCAGTAGATTTTTCATTCAGTTAAGTTTCTTCTAAGCAGCTGCACTTTCTGAAGTTAGCTACATGTTTCTCAGACAGTGTCTGCTTTCAGATTTGATAAAGCTTGATGTTTACAGTTGCTCCTGAAGTAACGGTGGGATTGGTATGCAGAAAGGCCCATGTTTATACTTATTCCTGTGGGAACCAAGGTCACTGTTGGCTCTCTTATGTTAAGCAAGTGAAAAGAAGTAAAAGGGTCGTACCTGCGGAAAAGTGTGGATGGGACAGGTGACCAAAACCTGACCAGCGAGGTATTCCATCCCATCCACGTCATACTTAGTGTAAAGCTAAGGAATCACAGGAGTGGGTCTCTCTTCCTTCACGGCTGGGATCCCTGTGGGACCCTGCTCATTCTCCTACCTCTGATCCTGGTCCGTGCATTCCTGAATCTGGTTCCTGTTGGCCGCTTCTGATGGCCCGCCCTGCCATGGCCTGCAGTTCCCTGGCCGTCATTGGGAAGCTCAATATTGGTTTTGTATATTCTTTCTTTTATTTCTATTATTAATATTGATATTATTATACACTTTCATTGCTATTGTTTCATTAAAGTAGTTTTAATTTTCCAACCCGTAAGTCTCTCTCCCTCTTCTCCGCTCGTTCCCCTTCTGGGAGAAGGAAAGCATTAATAGAGAACCTCTGCCTTCTGCTCTAAGTGCTGGCCCAGCCTTAAGTGGTGACAGCAGTTAAGGTCTATTAATGCCCTCGGGGGCCTGTGAGTCCCGTAGCAGTGAGGGAAGCAGATCCTTGGGTTGACTGCTCGAGTCTTCAGACCTTCCCCAGCCAGCACAGTCTGACCGTGCCCAGCGTCCTGCGAGGGGACCAACCATCAGAAGTCTTCGGCAGAAGAGGCAGGACTGGGCCCAGCCCTCGGGAGCTCCCTGCTGTGTTGGTGGGACTGCAGGGGAGGGGGAGAAAGAGGCAGAGATTCCGTGGGGGCACAGAGCTCCGGAGCAGGCAGTTAGGAGTAGGGAGCTGTTCCTGGGTGCTGCTCATCCATGGCCCTTTGGTAAAGGGTGAGAGGAGGAGGAGGGTTTTCCTGGTGTTGAGGACATTGAGAAGAGTTGGCTGCTCTGAGGTTGAACTTCTGTGGATCTGCAAATGAGCAGGAAACCCAGCATGTGGTGCTGAGCTGGTGGGGAAGCATTAGGGTGGTTTGAGGGGGGCGGGCTGTGGGGTTTTTAACTGCAAACTTGGGAATGGGCTGGTTTAGGTGGAACTCAAACTCTTCCCGGAGCTCAGACTACCGAGTGCCCACATGTTGGTCTGTCTTGGCTGGCTCATCACAGTGGTGTTACTACAGAGAAATTTGGGGTTTTCTGGGGCAGGAATTGCTCCTGGGGGCAGCCTGTCTGTGCTTGTTGGCAGGACCAACCGCTCTGTGCTTGGTAGTGCTCCAGGGGAGAGCGCGATGAAGGGAAGGAGAGAAAAGCTGTGTGAGCAGGCAGGGTCCTACTGGAGCCTTCTTGAGAAGCCGCGTGAATGAAAGGAGGAGGTTTTTGCTTCTCCCCTTTTCGTACCAGGAAAAGGGCTCTCGCCTCCCTTCCCAGCAGGGATCAGGGCTCTGCAACGCCAGGGCAGCACGTCATGTCGTGACAATCTCCTGGTTAAACCATTTGCCTAATGACGCAAAGGTTTCTGCTAGCTGAAACACCTTATATTCTACGTTGTAGCAGTTTAACTAGAGACTGAGGTTTCCATATTGCCTCATTAGAAGGTGTGTAGCCACATGTGCAACTCTCCAGGGAGGCCCTGATCTCTAGGGATTTATCAGGAGCTAAAGTATAATACTTGGAGAAATCTTCTGCAAGGTGTAGGGCCCTTGGGGGTCTCTGTGACTCCATGTTAATCGTATCTCCTTGTCCTCTAACTCTACTGGCTTTGGTAGTTTGGCAGTTTTTTAGCTCCACAGCTTGTTTTCATCACGTGAATTGTCTGAGCTTTGGGCTGAACCAGGCTGCAAGTGCAAATAAAGCACAACCGCGATGGAGACATCCTGTTTTAAATCTGGGAGAAATTAAGTTGCCCAGGACAGCTGCTGGGATTTGCAGGAGGCCTCCAGCTTAAACTCCGCTCCTGATCCTTTACCTGCCCCTCCAGGCAAGGGAAGATGCCAGAATCAGCTATTGAGGCGTGGGAGGAAACACATGCTAGAGCTTATGTAGCTGTAGACTTGAGCAATAATTTCGGAAGGAAGCTGAGCTATTCCTGCTAAATAGGGCTCAAAGGCAGCTGTTGATTCTGTAGGGCTGTGTGTAATCAAATATCCCTTTACTTGGCTATACTTTGGGAGAAGTAGAGCAAATGTGTGTTTTTTTAAGGCTTCTGTCTTGGTCTGGACATGACTTTGGTGTGTGGGAGGTTGGTATAAACACCATGGTCGGCAGCTGAGGTGTCCGGCACTGAAAGTTTTGTGGAGCTCAACCTCTGGAGCACCCCGCCAAGCTGCAAGGTGAGGTTAAAGGGCTGGCAACGCTGTACGAGAGCTTCTGGTGGCAGCAAGAGGAACGAGCAGCTGGCTCTTGGGTGGGAGACTCTCTCGGGAGCACCAGGGACATCAAGGCTGCAGGAACACGTGTCGTGCGCTGGGCTCGTGGAAGAGTCAGTGGTTCCCCTGGAGTAAGCAGGACGTGGGCTGCGCAGTCGGACGCTTCCTGGACACTCTGCCCCTGGACTCTTGGATGAACGCATCTCATCAGCTCAAACCACCAGGAAGAGGGAAGGAGGGAAGGAAGGGAGAAATTCAGAGCATTTTCCTTGTGGGTTGCTCAAAGGATGAGGTGGCTTTGGGGTCTTTCCACTCTGGCAGAATGTGCAGGTCACGGGTCAGCCCCAGTTGCCCCAGTGAGGGAGCTGTCGGTGTGGAAGGAGGAGGCTGGAGCCCGGCTCTAGGCTGGGGGCTCGTGCATCCAAAAGGACTTGGCCTGAGGAACACTGGAGAGAGGAGGGCAAGGGGCTGGGGGAGGTAAAATTGGGTGTGGTGGAAGTGATGGAGAGACACAACTCTTTAATAAACTTCATTTAATTATTTCATGACATTGGCATGTGTAGAAATGTTACAGGCTTGTTTACAATACTGGTAACATTTGCATTGCTCTGTGGGTTAATAGCAAAGCCCTTTATGTCAAGTACCATACAATTTCATACATTTTTTATATAAAATAAATGCTTAGAAATATCAACCGTTATTGCTATTAAATTCCTGAGTTATGCTGAGAACATGTTCTCTTCACCTTCATTAGATGCTCCCTGCTGTCAGCAGTGTCTGCTCGTCAGTCCCAAAGCTCTGCGGAGTGTTATAAAGGGTTTGCCCATGCAAGCTGACAACTGCACGCAGGGAAATTTTCTATATAGGAAAAAGGAAAGAAAATTCAAGTCACCAGGCTTGTCACTGGCTGAGCACAGGCAATGTCAGTAGTCAGATGAAATGCCAAAACGTTGGATCAGTTCCAGAACTATAAGCCTGACTCCCAAGCTGTTCTCCTGGACTGACTCCACCGTTTGCTTTGCAATCCTAGAGCAAACGTCCCCTGTGACTGCGACAGACCTCACAAGTGAAGCTGGTTAAGGGCAGTCTGATGCCAAAGTCTGTCTGCTAACACCGCAGGGGTAGATCCCACTGAGGAAGAGAGCACGGCTTAGTGCTGTTCATGCCACAAGTCCTCCAGCGTTGATGACTAAGAATCACAGAATAGATTTGGTTGGGAGACTTCTGGGATCATCGAGTCCAACCTTTGCCCTAACAGCACCATGTCAGCTAGACCATGGCACTAAGTGCCACATCCAGTCTTAAACACCTCCAGGGATGGGGACTCTGCCTCCCTGGGCAGCCCATCCCAATGCCTAACGACCCTTTCTGTGAAGAAATGCCTCCTCATTTCTAGCCTGCACTTCCCCTGGCGCAGTTTCAGACTATGTCCTCTTGTGCTGTCACAAATTGCCTGGGAGAAGAGGCTGATCCCATCTTCGCTACCCCCTCCTTTCAGGTCGTTGTAGAGAGCGATGAGGTCTCCCCTCAGCCTCCTCTTCTCCAGACCAAACCCCCCCAGCTCCCTCAGCCGCTCCCCACCAGACTTGTGCTCCAGACCCTTCACCACCTTCGTTGCCCTTCTCTGGACTCGCTCCAGCACCTCAAGGGCTTTCTTGTGGTGAGGGGCCCAGAACTGGACACAGCACTCGAGGGTCGGCCTCACCAGTGCCCAGTACAGGGGGACGATCACTGCCCTGGTTCTGCTGGCCACACTTTTCCTGATACAAGCCAGGATGCCATTGGCCTTCTTGGCTACCTGGGCACACTGCTGGCTCATGTTCAGCCGGCTGTCGACCAACACCCTCAGGTCTTTTTCTGCTTGACCACTTTCTAACCACTCTTCCCCCAGCCTGTAACGCTGCATGGGGAACCTAAGGCAGCCCACCTTGCATCCTGTCAGGTTATTTAGAGCTTGGAGAAGCAGAACATTTAACGTTAACTTCTTTTTACCTGAAAGTCACGGATATAGGTGAGGAAAAAGCTGAGAAAGGAGAATGCTAATGACCACTCTGAGATGGTACTGATGATGTGAGCTGTGTAGCCCTGTGTGAGAGGGGAAAAAAAAAAAAAACCAGTGTGAAAAGCTCCTCTTGAACCTGCAATGGCACAAAGATGGCTTGCACATATGACATCCTGCATCCACAAATATTCCCTTTGTAGAGCAAAATTTCTTCACATATCTGGAGTCTCTAAGAACTCAGAGAAGAGTGAGAATGACCAGGAAAACACCTGCTCCACACAACTGGCATGACCTCCACTGGGAATTTAATATCCAGCAGCAGAACCTGAAGGCTCACTCAAGAGCTTGGCATGACTAACAGCAAAACCTCTTTACAAAAGTAAGGTTCAAGGTCCTCCTTTGGATGTAAGCAGACTTTCGAGAGGCTCCTTATGCTTTAAATAAAGGGAGGGATGGGAAAAGCCCTCAAAACCAGCCTGCGTAGTATCTTCTCCAGGAAGTGCCACACCTCCAGCAGCGCCTGGAGAGGATGAGGAGGGTCAGGCAGACCTGTTAAGACCCTCATGCCCTTTCTCGGTCACACTTGGGATCCCTCACTGCCCAGCACTTCATCACTTCAGTGGCAGCTCTGTCACTTGTATCCTTTGGCCTTTTTCTGCTCCCGACTCCACCAGACACCCACCTGGCAGCAGTCAGGAACTCTGCTTCGCCGCAACCAGCTGGCAGGTGAGAGTCCGTGTTGTGTGTAATAGTGACCGGGAATCGCTGACCAGCACAGACCAGACAGGCTGGTAGTTTGACAAGTCGTTGAGACAGTTCAATCACTGCCCATGAGCAAGATTAATTTAAAATAAACCTTGAAGCTCCAACTCTTTTGCTTAGAGCAGTACTTCAGCAAGTAGCTGCATACTGGCTCAACTGGTAAAGCTCACTTGTCCCCCCCCATCCCAAATACATGTACACAACTGCAATAAGTTGCCAGATGCATTTATCACTGCAAATAATGTAGCTGGTTTTTTGTTCTCTATTTATTTTCACCACTCGATCACTTACTTTTTCCTGTGGGTCCCAGTGCAACTTCTGCACTAGATTCGTTCCGTACAGGCCACTGTATAATACAACTGAGGACACAAACACTGTAAAGAAATACGTTAAGGAAGGTTCAAGACCAAGAATGAGCAACTTGGAAATTTCAGACTTGGCTCTGGATTGTGTCAAGCTAAGGCTGCAAGGAGATCTCAGTGTCTTTTCCCACAAGGTCTCCTCAGCATCATGAACAGTAATGGTGACATGGACTACTTCACATCATTCCCTTCAACTTGTAGGTTGTTCCAACTGACTAATTACTGCCACATAAAAAGGTTAATTCTAATCTAAATCAATTATCTTTGTTCTCTGTATGCTGCATCTTGTTATACCTCCTTGATCAAACATAGCGTTCTTATGAAAGCATTTAAACTATGATCAAATGTGAATACTTACTTATCATTTTCAATTATTTTTTTAGTAGTATTTTCCAGACTGTCCTAGTTTGGCTAGAACAGGACTATATCTCCTTTCAGTAGATTTTTCGTTCAGTTAAGTTTCTTCTAAGCAACTGCACTTTCTGAAGTTAGCTACGTGTTTCTCAGACAGCGTCTGCTTTCAGAATCGGTAACGCTTGATGTTTACAGTTGCTCCTGAAGTAACGGTGGGATTGGTATGCAGAAAGGCCCATGTTTATACTTATTCCTGTGGGAACCAAGGTCACTGTTGGCTCTCTTATGTTAAACAAGTGAAAAGATGTAAAAGGGTCGTACCTGCGGAAAAATGTGGATGGGACAGGTGACCAAAACCTGACCAGCGAGGTATTCCATCCCATCCATGTCATACGTAGTATAAACCTAAGGAATCACAGGGGTCGGTCTCTCTTCCTTCATGGTCGGCATCGCTGTGGGACCCTGCTCATTCTCCTGCCTCCCATCCTGATCTATGTATTCCTGAATTCGGTTCCTGTCGGCTGCAGAGTCCAGACCAGGACACCCAGGTGCCCACCTGGTGCTACATCAGTGCTACTGCTTTTATAAATGAAACTTGGAGCATTAAGTTATAGAAGATCTGATTTTCATAGGATTAAGATATTAACTTCTTCAATTGTTAATGAGATTAAACATCAAGAGCTCCTGATATGAAAGATAATTCTTGTGGTGAACAAGGCTGAACTTACTGGCACAAACATGTCTTTGAAAACCCAGACTTCAAAAGCTTATTAAAAAAATTGATGTGAGTGGTCCAGGGAGCTCTGGTTACTGATCTGAATGCAAGATAAGAATCACAGAATTATAGAATCATTTAGGTTGGAAAGGACCTTTAAGATCATCGAGTCCAGCTGTAAACCTAGCATGGCCAAGTCCACCATTAAACCATGTCCCTAAGCACCACATCTACAGGCCTTTTAAATATCTCCAGGGATGGTGACTCCACCACTTCCCTGGGCAGCCTGTTCCAGTCCTTGGCAACCCTTTTGGTGAAGAAATTCTTTATAATATCCAATTTGAACCTCCCCTGGTGCAACTTGAGGCCATTTCCTCTTTATACCCAATTCCCTGCTAATTAAAATGTACAGTTTTAGTAGCTGTTAGTTACCTGCCTTACTACTGCAATTGAAAGAATTTAATCATAGCAATACAAAAATAACTGGTTCCCATCCTCCCCTCATTACAGAGCAGGTAATTAACTGCTTTGCACTTTCTGTGTTGGCAATTCTGCTGTTTCACTCCAGCAGAGGATGAGGAGTATTTTTATAGAATCATTTAGGTTGGAAAAGACCTTAAAGATCATCAAGTCCAACCATTAACCTAGCACTGCCAAGCCCACCACTAAACAATGTCTATAAGCCCCACATCTACATGTCTTTTAAATTCTTCCAGGGCTGGTAACTCCACCACTTCCCTGGGCAGCCTCTTCCAATGCTTCATAACCCTTTCGGTGAAGAAATTTTTCCTGATCTCCAATCTAAACCTCTCCTGGCACAAGCTGAGGCCGTTTTCTCTTGTCCTATTGCTCGTTACTTGGGAGAAGAGACCAACCCCATCTTGCTACCCCCTCCTTTCAGGTCGTTGTAGAGAGCGATCAGGTCTCCCCTCAGCCTCCTCTTCTCCAGACTAAACACCCCCAGCTCCCTCAGCCGTTCCCATCAGACTTGTGCTCCAGACCCTTCACCACCTTTGTTGCCCTTCTCTGGACTCGCTCCAGCACCTCAAGGTCTTTCCTGTAGTGCGGGGCCCAAAACTGAACACAGCACTCAAGGTGCGGCCTCACCAGTGCCCAGTACAGGGGGACAATCACTGCCCTGGTCCTGCTGGCCACACTATTCCTGATACAAAACTTATGTTTCCTTCTGTCCTCCAGTACTAGTTACAACCATTTCACCTATGGCCACAGACTTCTCCCTGCTACTTTCTTTCCCTTTTTAGCTGCTAATTTAGAAAATACTCTGACAATTTTCTTTCCCTTCTGTACATATGTATGTATATATCATTATTTCTACAGCTTTACTTCTAATTTTGGTTAGACCACACTGGTTCAAAAACCTCTACAGATTTGGGATTTGTGGGTTTTTGGCATCTGTAAAAGGCTCTTAACTTGCAGCAGATCATATTGTTCCATTTTAGTCTTCCCCAACTGTATTTGACTCCTAACTTTTCAAAGCTGAAAATCTTATTCTTTGCTAGCACCAAAAATATCTGCTAGGGACGGCAATTCTCCAAGTCTCACAGATGACGTCCGTGCTCTGTGTCAAGCCTCCTCAGCAGGTAAGGGTCCTTCTTGCTTCTTTACAGATAACCAGTCTGTGCCCCGACTATCGCTTCTCGGCTGACTAGTACAGATTGTATAATCTTGCAGTAGCAGCTATGGAAGCTCAGTGAGATGCCCCGTCCCCGGGAAGTGGGGCGTATGGTTTAGTGTTGGTTTTGGCTGCCAGCCTGGAAGTAAGTGGAATTAGTGGGGATTAAATTGGTGGCCTTGATTCAGCTGCAGAAGGGTCAGCATTTAAGCAATGATTTTTGCACTCACGTCTTGGGAATGTAAATTCGAAAGCTTTAGTGTTGTAGTCCTGTTTGACACAAAACTGAGTCATAATTTTTCAAAATACAATGTTTAGGTCTGTTGGGGTGAGCAGAGGAACTACTGTGGTTCAGTTTCCTGATTGTTAAATGGCTCTGAACAGGAAAAAGGCCTTTCCTTCTGGATGAGTTTGCCCATATTTCTGTAAAACCCTCAGCTGCTTCCAGCACTCAGAATTCAAAGTTAAGGGAGATGATGGATTGCAGAGCTGAGAGAAGGTTGTAGGGAATGCCAGTCAGAAATGTCTTGTCTTTTGAACTGTAGCGTGGGCAGGGAATGAGATCAGAGGTCAAATGTGTCTTCTGACTCAACCTTGGCAATATGCTCCAGAATTGTCTCTCTGAGAAATGCCAGAACTTTAAACCTGCTCTGGGAGCCAGCTGGCATGGTGCAGCACTGCTGCGCGTGGTTAGGTTAGTAGTATTTTCTCTTATGCTACATTCTGTACTTCTCTTTTAGTTGTATGCAACTGT